GATGGAGAGAGAGAGAGAGACAGAGAGAGAGATGAGGGGGGAGGGGGAGAATATAGAAACTTGTGAAACGGACAGATGAAAATGGGGAAGGGGGGAAAAAAAGAAAAAAGAAAGAGGAAAAAAAACTGAAATTAGCCTCTGTGACCTTAAGCCATAAGACAACACAAACGCTTCCACCTTCGCCATCTTCCCATACATAAACAAACAAAACAACAGCACCAACAACAACAACGGTATCATCCCTCGGCGCTGCCCACACAAATCAAAACAAACGCCCCAGAACCCCGAGGTCTTCGTGGGCGGGATCGGAATACGCCATAATGAGGTGTCCTTTGATTCTTTTATTGATGGTTCTTCCACGTCTTTTCCTTTTAAATTTCATCTTTGTTTTTGTTGGTTTCCCCCATACTTTCCCTTCATTTTTATTCTTCATTTTATTGGTATTCCCCATATTTCGTTTTGTTCTTCTATTGGTTTCCCTCATTTTATTTTCAAACGATCTTCATTTTATTTTCAAACGATCTTCTATTTGTCGTTTTTCCCCCCATATCATCTACCAACATATCTTCCTTTTATTGGTTTCCACCCATGTTTCCCCTTCTTTTTACCTTTATTTTGGTCTACCTTTGCCGTGCGTGTTTTCCCGTGTTCAATGATGCACGGGCGGGGCGCTGGACAGGGGAGGTGGCGCCGCTGGACCTCCTTCCTCCGCTTTTTGTCTTCGGGACTTCCATATCTGACCGCGCTGTGATATCTCCTTCTCTCCTTCTCATTTTCTCTTTCTCTTTCTCCTTTTCTTCATCTTTCTCCTCCTTCCTCTTTCTCTTTCTCCTTCTTCTTTCTCTTCCTGTTATTGTTCTCTCTTCCTCCGCCACCTCCTCCTTTTTCCTCTCTACCCTCCCTTTCCCTCCTATCCCTCCCTGTCTCCCCCCTCTTTCTTCTCTTGTTTCTTCTTCTTCTTCTTCTTTCTCTTCTTACCTTCTTCTTTCTTCTTCTCTTCTTCTTCTTCTTCTTCTTTCTCTTCTCTTCTCCTTCTCCTTCTCCTTCTTCCTTCTCCTTCTCCTTTCTCTTCTCCTCTCCTCCTCCTGTCCACTAGCTGACCACTGGGATCTCAAGAACAAAACATTTTACAAGAAAACATTAAAATGATATAGTAAAATAAAGGAATAAAACAGAGAAAGAAAGTGAATCGGAGTGAAGAGAGGAGGGAGAGAGGGAGTTACATTCATATATATATATATATAATTAATATATATATATGTAGTTATATATATATATATATATATACTAGAGAGAGGAGAGGAGAGAGAGATGAGGAGATCGAGAAGAACTGACTGAGAGAGAGAGAGAGAGAGGGAGGAGAGAGTGAGAGAGAGAAGGAGAGAGAGAGAAAATGAGAGAGAGAGAAGAGACGAGAAGAGAGGGAAGAAGGAGAGAGTAGAGACGTGAAGAGAGGAAAGAGAGAGACGAATGACGGGAAGATGAGAGAGGATGTGAGAGGGAGGAGAGAGAGGGAGAGGAGAGAGAGAGGGGGAGAGAGGAGAGAGAGAGAGAGGCAGAGAGAAAATACAAATGAGAAAAAAGCATACAGGAGAGACAGAAAGAGAAAAAACAAGACAAAACAGACAGGAAACAGACACGAGAAACGACAAAAAAACGGCCAAACAGGAAAAAAAAAAAAACAATAAAAACATCAAGAAAAATATACACACAGACACAACACACACACACACACACACCAAAAAAAAAGTACAACGTTCGTTTCTTCGGTGCCAGTTCGCTCGCGGATAACGAAATTGCAGGAGTCCAGGTCGATCGTCTAAATAACTGCGTCGTTTGAACAATTAGATTTCTCAAGAGCCCAGGGCAAGGCTTTCCGCTGGCGGGGGGAGGGGGAAGATTGAGGAGGGAGGGGGAGAAGAAGGATGGGGGAGGAGGACGACGGAGAGCGGGAAAGAGGAGGAGGAGGAAGAGGGGGGTGGGAAGAGGAGGGAAGGAGGAGGGGAGTAGTGAAGAAGGAGGAGGAGTAGGAGGATAGACGAAGGAGGAGCAGAAGAGGGAGGGAAGCAGGAGGAGGAGGAGGAGGAGGAGGAGCGAGGAGAGGAGGAGGGGGGAAGGTGGAAAGAGAGGAGGAGGAGCGCAGGAGGGGAGAAAAGAGAAGGAGAGAAGGAGGGAGGACGAGGAATAGCAGGGCGACGACGACGACGATAGGAATAGGGAAGGTAATGTGTGGGGGAGGCTGGGAAGGACTGGGGGGGGCGGGGTTCGTTGAGGTATTCACGGAGCTGAGAGGGGTGTGTGTGTGTGCATTTTATGATTTACTTTTTTTTTTTTTTTGCTCTCTGTCTCTGTCTCTTCTCTCTCTCTCTCTCATCTCTCTCTCTCTCTCTCTCTCTTCCTCTCTCTCTCTTCTCTCTCTCTCTCTCTCTCTCTCTCGGATTTTGCCATTCGAAATACTAATATATCTCTTCTTGTGCTATTCACTCCTCATTCCATATTTAGTGAAAAATGAACTTCTGTTTATTCCTTTTCTTCCCTCTGTTCCTCCTCTATAACCATCCATCCCCACTCTCCCTATTCGCATTCCTGCTTCCGCTCCTGCTCCTGCTCCTCCCTCTTCTTCTTCTTTTCTCCTCCCCCCTCCCCTTCTTCTCCTCCTCCTCCTCGTCGTTCCCTCCCCCTCTTCCTCTACCTCCTCTTCCAACTCCCCCACCTCCTCCTCCTTCCTACTCCCTCCTCCTCTTCCTTCTCCTCCTCCTACATCTTCTTTCCCTCCTTCCCCTCCTCCTCTACCTCCACTTCCTCGACTTCCTCGACTTCCTCCTCCTCTTCCTCTCCCCCCCTCTTGTTATTCCACTTCCACCTCCTCCTCTTTCGTACATTATCCTCTTTCTGCTCCTTCTCACTCCACCCTCCACTTCTTCCTCTTCCCTCTTGCTCATTCCACCTCCACCTCCTCCTTCTACCATCCTCTTTTCTGCTCCTTCTCCTCCACCTCCACTTCTTCCTCTTCCTCTTGCTATTCCACCTCCACCTCCTCCTCTTCTACAATGA